CAGGCTGGACCGCTGCCGGGGCGGCCCGCAGTAAAAGCTGAGCTTGGGGGAGCGACGCCGAAGGGCTGAGTCCCCGCAAGGCCCCGGAGGCCGACGCGGCGGCCACACGACCCACAAGACTCAACATGGCGGAGTCCGGGTGGAGACTGAAGGCGGCAGCCGTTCTCGCCGCCGGCTCCTCTGCGGCTGGGGCAGCACCCGTTCTGCTATAGCAGCACCGATTGGGAGGATTTACTGCCCGTTATTCTTAGCGCTACTTCTATAGGTTGATATACTCCCATCCTCTCAGCCATTGGTCAAGACTGGTGCTAATCTGAAACTGCCTTTGTCATTGGAAAGGTAGCACCCTGCGCCTCGAAAGCTAATTGGACCAAGGCAATGTCAGTGCTCTGCGGAACTACGTTTAGAAAAAAGGGGCCGAGTTCCTGGTGGAAGGGGGCGGGACGGACGTGGGTTGTCTTTCCTTGTCCTTGGATTCTCTCCGTAGGCAGGAGGTTGTCTCCTTCAGCAGGAGACAGCCACACGGGCGGGGTTACGGAGATCGTAATGTCTTGAAGCATCACCAAGGGTGCCCGTGGCGATGTCTGGAGCCTTCTCTAGAGTGGAAACACGGTTTTTGTCTTCGTGAGATCGGAAGCTCCTTAGCTGCTCAGCGGGTCAGAGACCAGCTTACTTTTTACATCTGTACAATGAAAGAAAGTAACTAGTTCGTTAACACATGTATGCTATGAAGGGCCAGCCAGATAGTTCAGTGGATTAAAGCGCCAGCAAGCAGGCGCAGGGGTCGGGGGCTCGATCCCCGGGCACCCTCAGCCGGTGATTGAAACTGGGTGTGGTGGCCTTCGCCTGTAGTCCCAGCTCTTGGGAAGCTGTAAACAGGCGTATCACTACGAGACCAGTCTGAGACCCTGAACAACGCCCGGTAGACCCTGCCCTAAAATATAAAATGAGCACTGTGAAGACAGGCAAGGGGTGAGAAAACTGCCTGGCAAACTTGAGGTCCCAAGTTTGATTTCTGGTCTTTCCTGCCTTCCAAAAAAAGTTAAACAATTCTAAAAATTTCTCCCTCTCATCTATTTCTGGCAAGACTTAGTGTCACCTAAATTTTTCTCTTTATATCAATTTTGGTCTTGTCTAAATTACCAGTTTTATTAACCATTACACTGCTATCCCACTTAATCTAGGTATCTAAAACATCAAGTCTCCAAGTAACTGTAATGTATTTCCTCAGTTTGAAATGTATATATATATTTTGGTTTTCTTGAGACAGGGTTTGGTGCCAGGAATCAAACTCAGGACATTGCAATTGACAGGCAGGCACGTAGGCCACTAAACTATCCCCCAGCCCTGAGAGGGAGGTTTGAGGGCAAAACTGACCCCAAGAAGTTGAAATTTAACAACAAAAAAATACTTCACAAACTTCATAATGGTCTCTGATGAAACAATTCTGTATTTATTTGTGGCTGGCTTGGCCTTCCTTGGGGGCAGGGCTGGCTCAGCATGTGGTACTGGGGATTGAACTTCAGTCCCTGCACATTTGACTAAGCAGGTGCTTTAGACCCCTGAGATAGCTCACCTACCCATTTTTTTAATTTCTATTTTTTTGAAACAATTCTGTATCCTCTACCACATTAAGTATGTGGTGTTGCAGTGATTTAAAAAAATGCTTAATACATAATCCAAATATACATTAAGTTCTGTAGTTGATACCGACTAAGACAAAAATGTGCCTCATGTAGTGGTCAGGTTATAATCCTAGCACTCAGGTCTGAGGATTGTTGTGAGTTGGAGACCAACTTGGACTACAAAGTGAGTTGAGCCAACCTGAACTGAATAGCAGAGCCTGTCTTAAAAACACTAAATAAATAGAGGATCCCAAATGGGAGCCTAGCTTGGCATCTCAAATCATAATTTATGCTGGCCTTGATTTGTTTTTGCGGTATGGGAGATCAAACTTGGGACCTTGAGCTTGCAAGGCAGGCACTTATGCCACTGACCTATCTCCTCAGCCTATGCTGGCCTTGAATTCCCTGCAATTCTGCTTCAGCCTCTCCAGGGCAGGCACTGCAGGTATGCACCACCATGCCCAAACAAGTGGTATTTATGTAAAATACAAATTTTTCGTATGTTACAAAAACCATACAGAATATATCTATTTTTACCAGAAATTCTAAATGTGCTTTATGACTCACCTTATCAATTTTATCTTGAGGTTAAAACTACTTTTTTTGCAGAAAATGTCTAAGAATAGAATCTTTTCCTATGCCTTTCATCAACTACAATGGATGTCAAACTTGTGCAATAACATTTTAAGGAAAAAATAAAATTATTTTTGTTTTGGTGGTGTTGAATACTAGAGGACCCAAGGCCATCAACCTGCAGTAGAGCACCAAGTCTTTGTAAGAATGTATGACAGGATCATATGAAGTTACCTGACTTTAATGTCCTCTTGAATCAGTCTGTCACAAGGCTGAAATTATAGGAATGCATTACCATGCCTGGGAGTAAAAACTTTTTACCAACTCCTCACACTACTGACACCCGTACTGCTTACAATAAACTAGTTTGGAATGGGCTGGGGGAGTCTATGTCACCTCCAATTGTGGAGTTCCTCTGGGATCAGTGTTGGGATTGAAATGCACCATCATATCCAGGTCTTTGCATGGAGTTACATCTGCAGTCCTGCTCCACTTTTCTTTTTTTACCCCCACCTTTTCTACTCAGTAGACTTCTGGCTGGCCTTCAACTTACTACATAACCCAAGGTGCCCTTAAACTTGCAGCAGTTAGGAGCCAGGGAGATAGCTCAGTAGAATAAGTGTTTGTCTGGTAAGCGCAAGGGCCTGAGTTCAATCCTCAGTTCCGCCAAAAAAATAAATAAAAATAAAAATTGCAGCAGTCCTCTTTGCTTAAGATCCAGAATACTGAAATTACAGGCGTGTGCCACCATGCCTACTAAATCCTTTTTACCAGGACTCAGGTATCCATATAATCCAAAAATATCCAGTTAACTTTTGAGAATTAGCATATAGGACTCAGGTATCCATATAATCCAAAAATATCCAGTTAACTTTTGAGAATTAGCATGTCAAATATGAAGCACAAGGTCACAGAAATAAACTCAAACTTTTGTCAGTGAGTTGAGGTGAGAAAGAATGGTTGTGGAACAGATAGATCACATGAGGTTTACCTATACTTTAAGCACATTCCTGGGCTGGGGAGATAGCTTGGTGATCTAAGTACCTGCTTGGCAAGCACAAGGACCCAGGTTGATCCCTGGTACTGCATGCTGTGCCAGCCCCACACCAAGCCAGCCACTGAAACTGGGCATGGTGGTACATGCCCATAACCCCAGTGCTGGGGAGGCTGAGACAGTATCACAACAACTCTGAGTACCACACTGAAACCCTGTATCAAATGAAGATATAATTTTTAAAGTTTAACACATTCCTTCCTGCTTGAAACACTTGTGTTACATGTCACTGTCCCATGGACGACTGTACTTATTACCACCAATGGGTACAAGCCACTAGACTGGACAGTCACACATGTGCCACAGGTGGTTTAAGCTGTCTGGCAAAAAGGCATTAGCTATGCATCATAGCACATACCTGAAATCCCAGCACAGACCAACCTGGGCTACAAGGTGAGCTAAAGGCCTTTTTGAATTTCACAGTAGACCGTCTCAAAACAAAAACCAAAACCCCCAAAAAGACAACAAATAAAAAACACAGAAGCCGTCATGAATATGTTAGGTTTATAGGTTTTTGTCTTTTTTTTTTTTTGGCAGAACTGGGGATTGAGCTCAGGTCTTTGCGCTTGCCAGGGAAGCACTTATTCCACTGAGCCATCTCTCCAGCCCCCGGTTTATAGGTTTTTATTGTTGGTCTTTTTGAGATAGGTCTCACTATGCAGTTCAGGCTGACTTGAAGCTCACTTTGTAGCCCATGTCAATCTCAAACTAGCAATGATCCTCCTGCCTCAGCCTCCCAAATACTGGAATTACAGGTATGTATTGTACAGATGTTGGTCTCAGTGTGATTGGTTTTATCTGTGGAGAAATGGTGGCAGGAATGAGGAAAAGACAAAAGCTAGGTTAGGTGGTGGTTTATTTTCTGGTTGGCGAGACGACCCCAAGGGCAAAACAAAACGGATGTTTATGTCTTTGTAAAGTTAGTAACCTGTGACACAAGTCTAGCAACTAATAGTTGACCATAACCAGATAGGATATTTATCTCAGGACTGAGGTAGCTTGTTTGCTTTAGGCATTGAGGCTAAGTCCCACCTACACACACTTGACCAATTTTCTAGCTTCCATGGCTCCCAGCTCCCAACAATCATCATGCTTGTCCTTTTAAAAAATTTTTTAAGGGGCTGGAGAGATGGCTCAGTGGTCTAAAGCACCTACTTGAAGCAGGCTTGGCAAAGCACAGGGACCGCGGTTCGATCCCCCAGCACCACATGCCAGCCAGCCCCGCCCCCTGGTGGGCTGAGCTGGCCACACACACACAATAAATGTAATAAATAAAAATAAATAATTAAAAAAAAGCAACTAATTTTAAAAAAAAAAAAATTTAAAATTTGAGACAGGGTTTCACCATACAGCTCCCACTGGCCTTGAACTCACAAGCAATCTCCCTGCCCCAGCCTCCAAAGTGCTGGGATTACAGATGTGCATCACCATACCCAACCCTGGTGGTTTTTTTAAAAAATCTTTATTTATTTAGTGTGGCCAGCTCAGCCCACCAGGGGGCGGGGCTGGCTGGCATGTGGTGCTGGGGGATTGAACCGCGGACCCTGTGCTTTGCTTAGCTTAGCTTGTTCTAGTAGGTGCTTTAGCCCACTGAGCCATCTCACCAGCCCCTGGTGTTTTGCTTCTCTTTTAAATCTTTTGTGTGGAACTGGGGATTGAGCCCCTGCGCTTGCCAGGCAAGCGCTTATTCTACTGAGCCATCTCCTGGTCCCGTTTTTGTCTAAAGATAGGGTCTTGCTATATACCCAAATTGGCCTTGGACTCTGGAAATTTGAGTGGGGACTATAGGCATTCACTGTTTCGTCAAAATATTTGAGTCATGGGCCCCATAATTTAAGGCAATCTTGAACTCCTCCCTTAGCCTCCTGGGTGCTATAACAGGTCTGTGCCACCATGTCCCGCAAAACTATTTCTACTAAAAAGAAAAACTAAGCCAGGTGTAATGGCACATGCCTGTAACTTGGGAGGCTGAGGCAGGAGAATCGTTGCAATTTTTTTTTTTTAATTTTATTTATTTGTGTTTGGGGGGGCAGCTCAGCCCACCAGGGGGCGGGACTGGCTGGCATGGCATGTGGTGCTGGGGGATTTAAACGCAGTCCCTGTGCTTTGCTAAGCTTGTTCTAAGTAGGTGCTTTAGACCACTGAACCATCTCACCAGCCCTGCAAATTTTTTTTTCTTTTGATTGTTGCAAATTTGAGGCCAGTCTAAGCTCCAAACTAAGTGCAAAGCCAGCCTGAACTGCATAGGGAAATCCTGTCTCAAAAAGAGGGGGGAGAGGGCCAGGGAGATAGCTCAGGGGAGTGATTGCCTGGCAAGTGCAAGGTCCTGAGAGTTCAATCCCTGGAAAAAGAGGGGGGAAAAAGTTGCTATAACAAATACATAAAAATTGTGAGGGAATGAAAACTGCTAAAATGCATAAGCTCAAAGATTGAGGAGGACAACACATTTGGTTTTATTTCAATCACAATACTTTTCCAGCTGCTGCAAAGTGCATCTACAATTTTTGATTACAGATCCACTTTAAAAAGGTTTCCTGTGACACAGCAAGCCTATTTTCAGAGGAATAGCCCCAAATTGTTCCAAAGTAGAAACTTGATTCCAGTAAATGGTAGATACATGAAGTT